AAAAATATTATATTTTCAAAATTTTGCAAAAATACTATTTAAAAAAAATCATTTATATTTGGATTAACTATGTTGTATTAAGCTTTAGAGATTTTTAGGAGTCAAAACATTTTTTACGCTTTAGAATTTTAAGATTCAAGTTTTAAAAATCTATAATTAGTGATATTTTTTACAAATAGACAATCTCAAGTAATCTTTTGGCAAATGGACAATCAAAAAATACCATTTTTGCAATTGTTCGATTTTAATTCAACCGATAATTTTGTGTGGAGTGGGTTTTAAGGATTTTCGAAAAGGACAAATGTTTTTTTTAATCGTAAGATGTATGATCGAAAAGTTTGATGCGTAAAAATATATTATAGTTATTTTCTGTACAACTCCCTTTCGATTTCTTATAAGCAAACTTAAAAAATACATAAAACTATATCGTGGCTCAGCATCTATTTACATTTTTTGTCACTTTTCCAATATTTTATTCGATACTCCTTTTTTTAATATTAGAGTATTTCTAATATATTACACCATTTTGTAAATGGTGTTAAGTTTTTTTTTTCAATGTATTACACTATTTTTATAGAAAAACCAATATTCAAATCATATTCGTTTTATCAATTTTTAAAAATTTACGAATTGATCATATCTACTTTTTAAGTTAATTTTTTTAAAAATAATCTAAATTTAACATGTATTATATAAAAAAGAATACATTGCATCATATAAAATAACAAAACATATTAAAAAAAATAATCATCCTCAAACATATTAGACTTTGGTTTAACCATCATTTGTATAGGTTTTTCATCAATTTTGAAATTATTTAAAATTTGAAAGACTTTTTTATAAATAACAAAATTCAATACCAAAATGGTGTAAAACTCATTTTTAACACTATATTTTTGTGTTGGAAATAATGTTGGATTGAAGATAAATTTATACCAACAAAAGATTTGATGTAATATTTGGTCTTGAGTTGAAGATCTTCTTAGAGTTATTATACTATCAAAATTAATTTAGTGGTTAATTTGTATACGGGATTGGAAGCATAACCAGAACCTCCTGAAAAGTCAATAAAGCATAATAACCTGATTTAGATGTGTAATCACCTTTCTTCTCATACGAAAATCCTAACCGTCGGAGAAAAAAATGAGAAAAAAGTGATTTGAGTTTATTCCCTTTCAGATGTCCGGTACTTTTGCCGGCATTATGAGTGGGAGAAAATTGTAAACTAGTAGTTTCTACGGTCAATATGAAGTTTCGAGGATGTCCTGGAGATTTTGGTCAGAGGCGATATTATTTTTCGTCAGGATTTATTGAGTTATTGTGATTCCCTCGATTAGGTTTAGTTTTTTTCGGTGAAGTTTTTAGTGGAGGTTTTTTCCTCGTAGAAGATCTATATTTAGTTTCTAGTCAATTTTGGCTACATATTTGATTTAAGTTTGGCAGTTCAAATTTGTTCAACGGCGGCTTCACTGAAACTAACTCGGAACAAAATTGACAAAAGCAATCAGAAAAGAATATTTATCTAAATTAAGAGAATTGTTATTATGTTATCGTAATAGATTTTGGAAGTCCGGCTGCTATTGTGGATTCGGGAACACCTAATTGTCTACCTTCGATACGAAACAAGATCATCTTGGTATCGGTAATGTGTCGTCAACGATTATTATCCTTACTTATTTTTCGGTGTAGAAAGGACCATTAGTTTTTTTTTGTATTTCATATGTTAATTTTTTTTAATAATGTAATATATTTTAAATCAGTTTTAATAAAATAAAAATGTTAAAAAAAAAAATTACCTTTGTTCGAGGGTAGCCATATCATGGAGTGAGGGCGTTTAGAGGAGCTTAGAGGAATAAGTTTATGTCTCTACTAGTCAATACAATCAAGTCATCTCATTATAGCCAAACCACTATAGGTGTTCTAAATCCTATAAAAAATACACTTTAAAAAGATTTATAATTTTCTTACAAAAATATTCTATTATAGTTTTCGCTATTGCTCGTTTGTTAGTTATTTTTGGTGGATCCATATTTGGATCCGAAGAACCCCATGTGCAGATTCTCAAGGCATGATTATAGGTG